TACGAAATCATCATAATAAGTTTGTTTACGAAAATTTTCTTCATTTTCTTTTCTTCTCTTGTATCCGATCAAGTAATAATACCAAGTTCAAGCCAACATCTGGATTTAGTTGGCAAAGCCTTGTGCTGAAAACATTATAACAAATTGATTGTGAATGCAAAAAAAACTAAAACTAACTATATATGTTTGTACCCAAAACACTAGGTATATATGTCTACATCACGATCCAGTACGGAAACGAAGTCATTTGTGAAGGTTCCAGAACGTTTAATCAACTTTTTCAAACTACAACAAGGAGCAAAGATGTGTTATCATTGCTTGTATAAAACTAATGATGATTCAAAATACGTTAATTCACCCAAGTATTTGTCGCCACAAGAAAGGATTTCAAAAGAAAATATAAGAAAATTTCAAGGTAGATCATATATATTAAGAAACGATGTCATTTATTCTCAATTTGAATTTCAGAACTGGAATCTGTGTATCATGAAGCATGCGCAGAGCTTGACGAAGCAAAATTAGGTAAATAATGGGTTTTTATTTATTATAGTGTTTTTGATTTCTTACAATTTTTTTTTTCTTTTTAGAGTTGGTTCCTCTCAGTAAGAAGATTAAATTAATGGCTGGAGTATTATATACAAGACAGCATGTATATAATGAGAAACCCATGTTTGATCCAGATGAATTCAAGAAAATACTTGAAGAAACTAAACTATTACTGAAAGGTTTTTTCGATCAATTAGTAGCAGGAACTAACCCAAAAGCAAAAGGTCACATGACTAATGAAAAAAATAAGAAAAGATTAGTTTCTTTTTGTTACTTTTTAGCAGGCTTTAATAATAAATTCATTAACGGAATTAAAGCAGAGGTTGGGTATCTATTAGATGTGTTTAGTATATCATTTTCAGCAATAGAAACCTTAGCTGATGCTGGCTTAACAGTATGGCATGAGACTATTGTATAGCAGAAAACCCAACATGCAAAAACGCAAACAATAATAGTAGGAAGTTTTCTGTCTAATAATATAAGTCTGGGAAAAGATTAGGGAATGCTTAAATTAATTTTCAAATAACTAATATATTCTTATTAGGATGGAAAGTTAATCGTACTTAATATTGATGACTTTCATAATATATATAAGTATCACCATAGTGATACAACTTCAACACATGCAATACTTCATTTCATTACAGTATTGTTTAAAGCCCTACCAGATACAGCATCAATTCTAAACATTGGGGATAAAAATATTTATAATGAAAGAGGTATTAATGTAAAAACTGTTATTGAAAATGCTAACTTATATTTTTTTCCTTATTTATAGCAGAGTTAAACGGTGTGAAGATCAACATTTATCGATTCAATCTCTATACCTGAGACATACAAGGAGTGGGTCAAACATCTTTTAATTCACAGTTATAATAATAGAATCGAACAACGTAAAGAAGATCAGAGTATGAATAATACTAAACTTGTTGAACTAAAAGTAGAGCAACTTCATAGAGTAGAGCATTATATAAATGCTCTTCAAAGCTTGATAGATATAAATGAGGTAAAATCTTATTTAGAAAAGCAAATTTTAGTTGCACCTATAGATTATCCTGAACAGCTTAATGTTCAGCATACTGTTGTTTGTAGAATTAGACTTGGGAATTCTTCTGATATACCAGAACAGGTTCTTCATATTGTGCCAATGATTGGGCCTTTACACATATCCTTAAATAGTTGTGAATCTATTTTTCTTGTTAATTATACTTTTTTTGATAAGTTTTTTCACAATATTTACGGAAGTGAGAAGGTGTTGGCTAAAAATCTGAAGTCTTACAAAATGAATCTTTTATTGAATTGGTATTTAAAGGCTAGTCTCAATTCCATTTAGTTGTTTTACAGAAGTTTGAGCGGTTAAAGGATCCTGAAGCCAGATACCTGATTAATCTTCTCGATAACGATATTCTACTAGTTTTGGATTTTTATTCGGTGATATTTCATAGTGGAAATTGGCCAGTTTATCAAGAAGCCATGTTTCATATTTGGTGTATTTTTTATCAATATGGGCGAAAAAACTACAACAAGTTACCACTAGCTTTTTTAAGTGATGTATTTTATTAGGATAGTATTAATCATCCTATCATGCAGACACTTACTAATTCTCTTCATGTTTTTAATGATTATTATGTAGAAAATTTTCATAGTTTGATTAGACACTGAGTACAACTATCTAACACAGCAGATCAAATTATTTAGGAAGCACAGATAATAGATCTAATGCGTAATAATAATATCTTTGTAGAAGCCTTCTCTGATGATCATAATATTAGATATATGGCAAAGTAACTGGTGTTACTTGAAAAGCGATCTGCAGTATTTTTACTAAATCTTTTTACTAATATTTATAAAAATATAGGTCAGTCGATTTCAAAAAATTTGAAATATAGGTTTCTAATGTTAGAAGACAACATTGATGTTAAAGCTTTGCCAACAGTCTAGAATTCTATGCATCCTCTACGAAATAATAAATATTGTGACTTAGAAGACTGTACGAGGACGTGTGAGGTAGGATTTATACTTATTTGTGGTCATGCTTATCATTTTGAATGTTTATTATTTAGGTTAGGCAGTCAATGCAAGTATTGTATAGACTATCTTGTGAGCGGAATTGAAAAAAACTGCAGAAGTTTTGATGAGACAGTGAATTCAGCTAAAGTAATAACAGTTAGGAGTGAAAGTGAACAAAATACTACAAAAACTACTAAGCAAAATACTAGTACTGAGATTGATGATATAATTTTAGATAGTAATATAGATCAGTTTTATAATACGGCTATAGTTAATTTTAGAGCAATATAGAATAATTTATTAATATATTGATGTATTTTAAAGTTTTTTACATTTATAATTCATAAAATAAAAAATAAGAAAAAATGATTACAGTTTAGTATGTTGATTGTTTTATTTTTGATTTAAAACTTATAGTATATGGCATAATTATTTGATCAAAAATTGTAAGCCCGAAAATAAATTGCTTATGAATCACTTATGAATTTTACTTATAAATTTTTATACATATGTCCCGATTGTAATATAAAATTTTATACATATGTACCTAAGGCTATACAAAATAATTTTTTTGGTTTTCATAACATAAAATTTTAAAACAGACCCGGCAACTCGGCTTTTTTTTTCAACTTTTATATATAAAAATTGTATAAAATTTTTTTTAAAAAACCCACCCGGTTATTATAACATATAAAAAAAATGTTTCAAAAGTTTTAAAATTTTGACCCGGCCGGGTTATGTAAACCAAGAAAATTTTTTTGTATGGCTTAATTGTGACCTAATTATAAATTTTTAATTTTCAACTGAAAATTTTCACCCATATGAATTGTTAAATCTTAATGATCAATGCCGTCTCTAATTGGATAAAATCCTCGGTCACGGTAAAAAGTGATCTACAAAAATTAGCCAATCACATCGAAAGCCCGCTATGCTTCGTGGAGCGTTAATTAAAAGTGTCGGAAAGGCAATTTTACTTATAAAAACAATTTACTTATAAAAACAATTTACTTATAAAAACAATTTACTTATAAACAATTTACTTATAAAAACAATTTACGTACTCTTAATACAGGTACACGAACCCTAATTCTTAAAAATTGGTTGATGCGCAAATAATTGGCAATCACGTGTTGATGCGCAAATAGATGCACGTGGATCTTTGGATCTGTTTTCAGGCTTCGCGAATCACTTTGAGGCACGGTTCCTTCTTTTCTTGGTATACCCGATTTTGCCTCTGACACTATCGATATCAAGTTTTTTTTTTAATATTAATAAATAATGTCTATCGTTATAGAAATGTTATCAGGCTAGCATTTTTTTTTTTTTTTTACTTTATGACTCACTCTCCAATAAAATTACGATATAAATGCCTACCTAATGTAACTTCGACATGAAAATTAATTATTCCCGAAAAATCACTATTTGTGTTAATTTTTTGAAGGTAATCGGAGAATTATATAGTAGGAAACCCGATTGTTCACGAAAAAGGCTAATCAATAAAGTACTTGTGACATTTACTGTTTCAAATGCTATCTCTGTCAAACCCACATTAAAATTAATAGACTATTTTAACGTTCTTATTTTAAGAATAATCCAAATGTTTATCGTTACATTATGGTTATTTATTATTATTCCTACTTTAATTACTTTATTACAAACATTTATTCTTAATACTTCGATTCATGCTGTTAATTCCAATACTGTTCGGAAACAGATACAAACATTGAGTTTTAAACTTTGCTCTAAATTTGTTTATTTACATGTACTATAAATTATGCTTTCTCAGCATTTTAGTTTGAGACTCTGTTTATTGTATTAAAATTTTGATTTAAATTTTTTTTTTTTTAAAAAAAATATATATATTTATAATTATTTTATTTAAAAGTTTAATTGAAATTTTTTTACTTTTAAGATTGATGTGGTTAATATTTACATAATTAAATTCATTTGTGATCAAAAAAACTCGAATTAAAACTTGTTCAGGTTTCGAACAGGGACGATTAACATCCCTAATTTCTCAATATCAAAACTTTATTTTGTACACTGTGTAATTATATCAAAGAATTACATAATTTAATCGATTATTAGTTGTAATAAAACTTAGAACTTTAATTAGAACTAGTAGTTGTGGTAATTTCTGACTTACTTAAACGTGATATAATATACTGTACATAGATAGTGAATTATAATTATGCTGCGTCAACAGATAAATAATTATGTTAATTCTATGAATGCTACAATAAAAAAAAAAAAAAATTAGTGAAGAAACGCAAGAAAAAAAAAAAGAATTTTGAATTGTGTATGTGTGTTACATAGTAAGAATTCCTGTAAGATTGTATCACAATTGCTGTGTTCATTCCTAATTTATATTGAATTGAAAATCATTTTCGTTTATTAAATTAACAAACTCTCTCTTTACAATATTCAGAAAATAAAAAATAATAATGTCTACAGATCAAATAAATCGAGTGTTAGCAATAAATGATAGTATAGTCTATGCAAGTACAAAGCTAGACATTGCTAAAGGGACATTACATGTTTTTGGAATGGTTGGAGATACTGTTAAACCATTTGTTCCTTTAATATCAGTTGTTACATCACTTATTGGAGAAATTATAACAATTTATGAAAATGCTCAATATAATAAAAAAATTTGTAATTCATTACTTGATCGTGCTAAATCAGCTGAAACTGCTATGGATACATTAACAAGAAGAAGAAAAGAAAATGAAGAAAATTTTCGTAAACAAACTTATTATGATGATTTCGTAAAATTTAAAAATGCTTTAGA